CTGAGGAAATGTGAAAAAAAGTATAACTTCTAAAATAATGGCCCGATTATGCTGATTTTCGAACTCAACCTGCGTTTTAGTAAGATTGACCACTCCTGTGAGTATAATTACAATTGGCCAATCCGTTTTTCTTATATTGTGTTATCAGTGTTGCATTTATATTGAAAATAGTGAAAAAACAGCATAAATTCCCTAAAAATGGCCCAATCATGCTGATTTTCGAACTTGACCTGCGTATTATGAATATTCATCAGTTCTGTAAGTTTCAAGTCAAAAGGTAAAATGGTTTTCCACTTATCGTGTTATCGGTGCTGCATATATGCTGAAAAAAGTGAAAAAACAGCATAAATTCCCTAAAAGTGACCCGATCATGCTGATTTTCGAACTTGACCTGCGTATTATGAATATTCATCAGTTCTGTAAGTTTCAAGTCAAAAGGTAAAATGGTTTTCCACTTATCGTGTTATCGGTGCTGCATATATGCTGAAAAAAGTGAAAAAACAGCATAAATTCCCTAAAAGTGACCCGATCATGCTGATTTTCGAACTTGACCTGCGTATTATGAATATTCATCAGTTCTGTAAGTTTCAAGTCAAAAGGTAAAATGGTTTTCCACTTATCGTGTTATCGGTGCTGCATATATGCTGAAAAAAGTGAAAAAACAGCATAAATTCCCTAAAAGTGACCCGATCATGCTGATTTTCGAACTTGACCTGCGTATTATGAATATTCATCAGTTCTGTAAGTTTCAAGTCAAAAGGTAAAATGGTTTTCCACTTATCGTGTTATCGGTGCTGCATATATGCTGAAAAAAGTGAAAAAACAGCATAAATTCCCTAAAAGTGACCCGATCATGCTGATTTTCGAACTTGACCTGCGTATTATGAATATTCATCAGTTCTGTAAGTTTCAAGTCAAAAGGTAAAATGGTTTTCCACTTATCGTGTTATCGGTGCTGCATATATGCTGAAAAAAGTGAAAAAACAGCATAAATTCCCTAAAAGTGACCCGATCATGCTGATTTTCGAACTTGACCTGCGTATTATGAATATTCATCAGTTCTGTAAGTTTCAAGTCAAAAGGTAAAATGGTTTTCCACTTATCGTGTTATCGGTGCTGCATATATGCTGAAAAAAGTGAAAAAACAGCATAAATTCCCTAAAAGTGACCCGATCATGCTGATTTTCGAACTTGACCTGCGTATTATGAATATTCATCAGTTCTGTAAGTTTCAAGTCAAAAGGTAAAATGGTTTTCCACTTATCGTGTTATCGGTGCTGCATATATGCTGAAAAAAGTGAAAAAACAGCATAAATTCCCTAAAAGTGACCCGATCATGCTGATTTTCGAACTTGACCTGCGTATTATGAATATTCATCAGTTCTGTAAGTTTCAAGTCAAAAGGTAAAATGGTTTTCCACTTATCGTGTTATCGGTGCTGCATATATGCTGAAAAAAGTGAAAAAACAGCATAAATTCCCTAAAAGTGACCCGATCATGCTGATTTTCGAACTTGACCTGCGTATTATGAATATTCATCAGTTCTGTAAGTTTCAAGTCAAAAGGTAAAATGGTTTTCCACTTATCGTGTTATCGGTGCTGCATATATGCTGAAAAAAGTGAAAAAAGAGCATAAATTCCCTAAAAATGACCCGATCATGCTGATTTTCGAACTTGACCTGCGTATTATGAATATTCATCAGTTCTGCAAGTTTCAAGTCAAAAGGTAAAATGGTTTTCCACTTATCGTGTTATCGGTAAAAGTGCACGGCGACGGCGACGACGGCGACGACAGCGACGGCGACAACAGACGCAGATGATGGCTATATGTACAGACACATCTGTGTCTGTACATAAAAAAACACTTATATACAAAAAAAGGCATAACTTCACCAAAACTGAACCGATCAAGCTAATTTTCGAACTCAATCTGTATTTTAGTCAGACGGATCACCCCTGTGAATTTCAAGACAATTGGCCGATTTTCCTTAAATCAGTTCTGTGAATTTTAACCCAAAGAGGTAAAACGGTTTTTCACTTATCGCGTTATCGGTGTTGCTTAAATCAGTTCTGTGAATTTTAAGCCAAAGTTGTAAAACAATTTTTCACTTATCGTGTTATCGGTGTTGCATATATGCTGAAAAAGTGAAAAAAAAGCATAGCTTCCATGAAAATGGCCCGATCACGCTGATTTTCAAACTTGACCTGCACATTATGAATATACATCAGTTCTGTAAGTTTTAATCCAAAAGGTAAAATATTTTTTCACTTATCGTGATATCGGTGTTGCATATATGCTGCATAAAAATTTAAAAAAAACAGCATAACTTCTATAAAAATGGCCCGACCATGCTGATTTTTGAAATTGAACTGTGTATTCTGAATATTCATCAGTTCTATAAGTTTCAAGCCAAAAGGTAAAACCTTTTTTACTTATTGTGTTATCGGAGAAAGTGCACGGCGATGACAGACGCAGGTGACGGCTATATGTACAGACACATCTGTGTCTGTACATAAAAATCATAAAAGGTTCATTTCTAAAAGAATAAAGAAAGTTGATGCTATATTTTCAGCTATTTTGGTCCTTTTTTTAGATTGACCTTGACATTTTGGCATGACTTTGATGTCTGATGACTCCCAAACTTTTTTCAAATGAACGGCCATGCCTTTGAAAATTAGAAGTGATACCTCTGACCAGTTTTTAAGTTACCCAGTTTCCATAATATGCCCACTGAACACCCTCCCTTATGCATTGGTGGCCATTTTGGATTTTTGGCACTTGCCATTGGATTCCGGTGAGAAATTATCTGGTTTATATTGACCCAAAACTGCACAGGCTTCAGTTGAGAAACCTTTGTTAAGATTTTTTCCAACTTCATAGGGGAATTTCCGCTAGTTTACTGCCTTATTGGTATGTCAACTTTATTTGAGTCATATTAGAAACTAGTACTAGTAAAAGTGGTTTATATGTGTAACAAGGTATCCACACTCCACCTATTAAGAAACTGTACAAAATAAGATAATAATTTGCTGGTATTAAATCTATTAATTAACAGTTGGCTACTTGTCAGTTTAATATTTTATACTGGTAGGTTTGCCAGAATTTAATAAATTATTTACTCATCTTCATCTTGAACCATTTTAACTACAATGATATTGTTGTTGAAATTAATAGAGGTCACACAAACGGTAGCAGGTTTCCTTGCTTGCAATGCCAAGTTATTTTTTCATCTGTATACAGTGACAATATTACAACAAAAACAAACAAGAGTTCTCAAAATATGCAAAAAAAAAAAAAAAAAAAAAAATGCAAAAAAAAACATAACTAAAAATGGTCCAATCATGCAGATTTTTGAATTGACCTGTATTTTCCTAGCATTGATCACTCCTGTGATTTTTTAGACAATAGACCTATTGGTTTTCCTTGAAATGTGTTATCATTCTTGCATCCGTAGTATTTCGACAAAAGAGAAAACCCAGGGGCAACACTGGGCATATCTCTGCTAGTTTTGATGATATGAGGAGCAAGAAAATATGCAAAGTTCAGTTCTTGGTGAAAAAGTAGGTCAAAGGTCAATTTCAAGGTCACAGTATATGACTTCCTATTCAAGGTCAATAGTAACCATGGGCATTCCTTTGCCAATTTTGGAGATATAAAGGCCAGAAAACATGCAAAGCGCAGTTCATCATAAAAAGTAGGTCAAAGGTCAATTTCAAGGTCATAGCTAGATTGCCAGTATATGGCTTCCTATTCAAGTTCATCAGTAACTTTGGGCGTATCTTTGCCAGTTTTGGAGATATAAAGGATAAAAAATTTGCGATGTTCAGTTCATGGTAAAAAGTAGGTCAAAGGTCAATTTCAGGGTCACAGTTAGATTGCCAGTATATGACTTCCTATTCAAGTTCAATAGTAACTATGGTTGTATTGTTGCCAGTTTTGGAGATATATAGATCACAAAACTTGCAAAGTGCAGTTCATAATGAAAAGTAGGTCAAAGGTCAGTTTCAAGGTCACAGTTATATTGCTAGTATATGACTTCCTATTCAAGTTCTATAGCAACTATGGGCGTATCTCTGCTAATTTTGGAGTTATTCACATTTAATTTTCACCACTGGATATTGCATAATACTTTTTTATATAGCACAGCGCCTTAAGCGTATTGAAAACAAAAAAGTGGACACCACCTCCATTATTGCGCTTGACAAGTCCTACAAGTTGCAAAATTCAAAAGGTCTGTGACATTTATGGTTCCAGAATTGGAGCGAGTTTTCAGTTTCGGTATCTAATGGCTGTTTATCCCATGAAAATGCACTGATTGACCCCAAACTCTCAAAGATGAAAGGAGTCCCTGGTTGTAACCCCTCACCATAATATCAGAGCTTAGGTCTGTGTAGTTTCTGAAAATTGGTGCAAACAAATATTTTTTGCAGAAGATTCCCATTTTTTGAAAATTTTGGCTCGTTTGACCTTAAAATAAAGGTCGAAAGTCACATCTTAGGGCAAAATTGGAATCGTCACATATGACTTTCGGCCAGACTTCTGTAGTAATTTTTCCCATTATTCCTTCGGTTTGGGAGATATTTAGCATTAAATTTTCTAAAATTTTGACAAGGGAGCGTTTCAACGAGCGTCACGCCCAGGCCAAAGCATCGACTGAGACAAAAATATCAGGGTGTTCAAGTTGAGATTATATGTGACCTAAATCCAAGAGAGAAGCGGTAAGGGTGACTTGTATCCCACGACACCCTGCGGAGCCAACAAAGCCGGCGGAGCTCACAGAGCCGGCAGAGGTGTACGAGATGGGTAGGGACTAAAACCATGAGTACCGCCAGCGTACACGCTGGTGGTACTAATTATTATAATTTAACTGACATGAATTAACTCCTGGATCTTCAAACAATCATAGAGCGCTTTCAGGTGGTTTAATTGGAAGGAAGTGATCTTATCTGTTGGTGTCATTATAGCAAATAGATAAAATAGATATGACCACAGAGCAGTTATGGGAGTGATTAGGATCAATGTCAGGAAGGACAGACAGAAATGCCTGTCAAATCCATCAAAGAGACCTAGTATCGAGCAACTGGTCATAAAGAAAGACGAGTTCCAAATCCTCCTAACGAACAGATTCAGTGCACTAGAGCTAGAAGGTGAAGATGGAGTAGATGAAATGAACGATAAAATAACGACCACCATCCTAGAATGTGCATCAGAAGTCGCACCGGCCAGTAAAATGAAGGACTCAAAGCTCTCAACAGAAATGAGGATTCTCATAAAGAAAAGACGGATAATGAAGAAAACTGAGGTAAACAACAACAGGGACATCAGAAACAACATTGAATGTGCAGAACTGGATAAGACCATCAAGAAGATGGCAAGGGAAGACATCAGGAAGCAGAACATGAAGAAGATAGCAGAGACCATCGAAAATGGAAAGAGCATGAAAAGAGCAAAGAGATCCTTTCAACTAGGGCAGGATAGAATGCTGACTCTTCTAGACAAAGATGAAAATGAGCTCACCACACAAGACCAGATATTAGAACGAGTAGAAGAATTCTATGGAGAGTTGTATGACAGCAACAAGGGAATAGAAATCTCAACAAAGGCATGCGATCTACCAGACATAACAGCTTGGGAAGTAGAGTCAGCAGTCCAGAAAATGAAGAACGGAAAGGCAGCAGGAAATGACAACATCAAAGCAGAAATGGTAAAAGCAGGAGGAGATATCCTATCTCAGGAATTAGCCAAGCTCTTCACAAAGTGCTTACATCTGAAGGAAATTCCTGTAGCATGGAAGAACGCCAACATGATCATAATGTTCAAAAAGGGCAATAGGAAAGACATCAAGAATTACAGACCCATCTGCCTACTTTCTAATTTGTACAAGATTTACACCAAAATATTGACCGAAAGGCTAACAAGACAACTAGATGAAGCGCAGCCAAAGGAACAAGCAGGTTTCAGAGGCCAGTACACCACTACTGATCATATGCACACTGTCAACCAGCTCAAAGAGAAATGTCTCGAGTATAACATTCCACTATGTGTAGCATTCGTTGATTATGAAAAAGCCTTCGACTCAGTAGAAACCCAGTATATACTGGCATCCCTGCAAGATCTAGGGATCGAAGATGGATACGTAGACGTCCTCAGAGACGTATACACTGATAGCTCTGTAACAGTCAAACTACACAAGACCACCAATAAGATCAAGATCAAGAAAGGTGTACGCCAAGGAGATACAATCTCTCCTAAACTGTTCACAGCAGCATTGGAACGTATATTCAGGGATCTTGACTGGCAGGACAAGGGCATAAACATAGACGGTACCAGGCTCAATCACCTTAGGTTTCAGACGACATCATAATAGTAGCAGATGATGCAAAAGACCTCGAAGAAATGCTACAGGCGTTAGCAGATGAAAGCGCAAAAAGTGGGCTAAAGATGAACACCAGCAAGACAAAGGTGATGTTTGGACCACTAACCACCCCTTGCACAGTGAAAGTCAACACCAAAGAGATAGAAGCAGTGGAAGAGTATATATACCTTGGGCAACGGTTCAGCCTTAGTGATCCAACACTGGAGAAAGAAATTCAACGAAGGATAAAAGCAGGATGGGCAGTATATGGGAAGCACAATGACATCTTCAAGAGCAACCTTCCTATCTGCCTGAAAAAGAAAGTGTTCAATGCTTGTGTGCTGCCGGCACCATGGAACACAAGCTACAAGTAGCTCAGAGAAAGATGGAAAGAATTGTGTTGAACATCAATCCAAGAGAGCGGAAAACGAATGTATGATACGTGAACAGACCAAAGTTAAGGACGTACTGCTCACAGTTAAAGAAATGAAATGGAGGTGGGCAGGACATGTCAAAAGAATGAAGGACAATAGGTGGACAATCAGGCTTACAGAATGGACCCCAAGGTATGAACAAAGAAAAAGAGGAAGGCGGGTCAAGCGATGGAGGGATGAATTAGATGACTACTGGAAGTCTTGGAAGAAGAAATCTTGGCCAAACTGGAAATCTGAGGCTCAGGATAGGAAACAATGGAAAAAGCATGCTGAGGCCTTTGTCCAACAGTGGAACACTATAGGCTCTAAATGATGATGATGATGAGATATGATCTTCACAGGCATGGTTGTTGTATTTGTCTTTGAAAGTGGGAGCTGAAAGGGGGCTCTAATGACGATTTACTAGTCTGATTTCATTTCCTAAAATTACTTGCCATTTTGAGAATTTTTAACAATTTTTTATAGTAATTATTTTACAGGCCTACCTATGTAGCTGCAGACAGAATTGAGATCATGGACAGCATTAAAAAGTTTACATACTCAATAAACCATTTAATTATTGTGCTATGAAGTGCGTAAATGGCAATAATATGCTATTGGAACAGATAACTAATATATTTTCTTAGTGATGTACTCTTTCAACAGAGAATAGGATGCAAGAAGGCCTATCAATGAACATGAACTGGAAGAAACAAGCAGGTGAAGCTGTTGCTGCCAAGCTGCTGATTAAAATATGTTAACCCAAGATCAAATTTACAGCAATCATATATTTTAAAAAAGCAATCCTATTTTTGTTATCGATTCAGTGTTTTTATTCTTTTGAATGACATTACTGTTACATTCGCTTATAAGCTTTATATCATCAAAATTCCCATTAAATTTTACTGTACAAATGTTTGTTCAGAAAACAACTTCATAGCTTACATCAAGGAGTTTTATAACTCCTTTCTTACATACCTTACAGGTAGAAATAAAATGTGGATTTAAAGTTAACAAGTTTAATAGCATCTTTCATTTTGCATTTTAAAAATTTAAAAGTGATTTATGACATAAAAATATACATTCATTTCGGATTTTTATATATCATAATTTGTACCCCCATTATGATATTTAGTCTGATGTCCTTAAACCTTTTAAAAATTATATTATTTTCTGCAAATAGACACATGATCTTCATTTAGCATCAGAGTCGAACTTATTTTCAGATTTTGATAATTTGGATTTTTAGAGGTCATTTGGTGCATTCTGGTGACATCTGGATATTAAATTTAACAAAATTTGGCCCTATAATTGTTGCCCCCAAATTTAATAATTTCAATGAATAATTGTAATGGGCCTAATGGCAATTACAAATTATATTCCAATCTGGAAAAATTATTTTTGACTATAAACATAACAAAAACACAATATCTAGACTAAGGCCCCGTTCACATGATGTCTATTTTCTAAAAATCTATTTTTTATTCGCATTTTCTTGTAATCACGGTCCCTGTGCCCTGAATTTCCCGCGGCGTAATTACTGGCGGCGCAAACCAGTAATTACTTCCAAAGCTGTAATTAATTCTCGGGATATACAGGGCACAGGGACCGTGATTACAAGATACCGCGAACAGAAAATAGATTTTTTGAAAATAGACTTTCCATGTGAACGGAGTCTAATTTACCTTTGATTTTATACACGTAGTCTAACATATTTTAACCATTTAGAGTAATCGCTGTCACCAGTTTGCCGACTAAGCTATTTTTAAGGTCAAACCATTTTCATCTGGGTCTTAAAACACAATAAAATATCTAAATTGACTTTAAAAACACATTTTTTGCTGATGGCAGCATTGTACTAGTGCTGTACTATCGGTGGCAAGTTGACATACTGTTGGTGTGGGACTGCGATATCTGCGGGGCTGTAATAAAGATGTCTCCTCGAGCCATGTGGTTGTTGTGATTGATCCTACAAGTTTAGTACATAAACTTGGTGTCAGAAGTGGGATCACAAAAAGAAAACATGCATAATGGGTGAGTCTAAACCTCCTAAACTCAAAGTCGGCGAAGATAAAGCAGTGAGTGTTCGCACTTGGAGAAAAAAAATTCAACTGTTGGTGCTTACTCCAAAAAGACTGGCGGGACCCGACGAAAGAGGTCACCGACACTGCTCACTGGAAAGAAGACAAACGTAAATATGAAATAGCAGCATTTTACCTAGCGCTTCCCGATGATGTGCTGAATGTTTTTGACACAACTACATACCCAAAGCTGAACGAAGAAGTAAAAAAGCAGCCGTGGTCCTATCTTAACAGACTGGAGAGGCAGATGCATGCAGGTAAAGACGATGTAATGCTGCAAAGATTATCATTTTTTAACTGCATACAAACCCCCTCAGAATCACTAACAGATTTTGAAACTCGCATAAGAACCATCGCCAGAAAGACGAAATATGACAAAATGCAGGACCCTGTGCAGGAGCTTATGAGGGACAGATTCTGCACAGGTGTGCACAACAAAGATTTAAGGGAGCTGCTGCTTCACCATTTTAAGGACGATGGCTGCAAACCACTCACGTTTGAAGAGCAACTAAAGAAAGCAAAATCATGGGAGGCTGCACATAACACCAACATTAGCATCATGCAGTCTACACGTAAGGAGGAGCAGGTTACGCCTACCATATGGTATTAGCTGTGCCCTAGAAGAATATCTGTTAAGAATCCATGAAATACTCGAAGGACTGGACAATGTCTACTCTATTGCTGACGATATCCTTGTTGTAGGACAAGGCGACACACGAGAAGAAGCAAACAAAAAGCATGACCTCAGTGTTTTGGCCCTCATGGAAAAAGCAAAAACTCGCAACCTCAAGCTAAACCCTGAAAAAATACAGTACAAATTACAGAAGATAACGTTCATGGGCTCAGTCATCACAGAAGATGGCATCTACCCAGATCCAAACAAGGTCAAAGCCATAACAGAAATGCCTACACCGGAAGACAAGAAAGCTCTTCTAAGGTTCTGTGGCATGGTAAACTACCTAAATGCCTTTTGTCCAAACCTATCCCAGACAATACAACCACTATTTGAGCTAACCAAAGAGGATCATGAGTTCATATGGTCAACCGTACACCAGGGGGCATTCACATCAGCAAAACAATTGATAGCAACGGCACCATGTCTGGCCTACTTTGATAGCAACAAGGAAACTGTATTACAAGTAGATGCATCACAAAACGGCCTTGGGGGAGCACTTCTCCAACCCAACAGCACAGGAATACTGCAACCAGTCGCCTTTACGTCCTGTAAGATGCGCCCCAATGAAGAAAATTGGGCACAAATTGAAAAAGAGTGCCTTGCAATAGTCGCAGCATGTGACAAGTGGGACCTTTGGCTATATGGCCAGAAGATAACTGTACACACAGATCATCAGCCATTAGAAACAATATTCCAAAAGCCCTTACAGTCAGCTCCACGTCGCCTACAAAAAATGATGATGCGACTTCAACAATACAAAATAAACGTTAAGAATAAGAAAGGCTCAACCATGGTTCTGGCTGACACGCTGTCGAGGGCCACAGTGATTGGGAAGGTTCAAACCACCCATGGGACAATGGCCCCTCCTGAGTCACCCTTAACGGGCCATTTTGCATAACAATGGGCCATCGCTTGACATTTATGGGCCATTTTTAAACATGACAAATATATTTGAAATATCTGTATCAATATTTTTAGGAATAATATGATAAGGTTTTGCAGTTAAACTTTGTTAATATATTTATTTAGTTAAGACTTTTGTCTTTTTCAATAAAACCATTACAATGCCTTCTTCACTGAACTTATTTGAAGACTAAATGAAAAAACAAAATGATAGGAAAACATGTAATACTCATTAGTAATTGGTTTTTATTTGATGAAACCATCAACAAGAGGTAAACAATCTAGATCATTGAAAACCTAGATTACACAAAACTGAGAAAATGTAAATGAAATTGTCTTCACATACTGTCTAGTACTTATTAATCAGTCTTACTGAAAAGAGATTTCATTACTTAATTTCCTGTGCCACACATTCAGTGCATCCTCATAACTTATCTTACTCCCAAGAATCTTAACTCTTAGACTGTTCGCAGTCGTACTGGAGCCAGGGCCATAGTTGAGGCCATCGGGGTTTGAAACCTCGTGCGACCTGAGAAAGAGAGGTGCTAGCACTAGCAGTAACACTACTGTCAGTGTCACTACTACTCGTCGTACTAGTGCAAGGAGCGCTGCTCTCAGAAGTTGGTACATTTTCTTCCCCCGTCTCCTTTGAGACTTCTTCCTGAACATTGGACAGACCCTTAGACGAAGCGGTTGAAGTAAATAAACTAACTAATGTAGGCTGGTCTTGCGAGATTTTAAAAATCTTTTTCGGCGGCATTTTTCTTTTCACTTCACCAAAGTGCTGCTTGAAAAAATCCCATGTGCTTTCAGAACGAAAAGCAAGGTTACTTCTAATTGGATAAACATGACCTATAAACTGATTGGCCAATAAGATATCAGCTTTTATTTCATTAGCATATCTATTGGGACGATGTGAGCTCATTGCTCTCGGCA